TTTACAGCATGGCCAAGCTTATTTTCCATCCACGTTTTAATTACGAGGATGTTTTGCTGGCACATCAAACAAATTGAGGCCATCTCCTCAAAACCCCCCACCAGATCCAGCTTCAGTGCCATCTACAGATCCATCGTTGTTCAGCACCCGAAGCTCTGCTCCTTGCAGATTTCATTAGGGTAGTACCGGATCTCCCCACCCTGTGGTGGCAAAACACCCATCCATTTCTGTCCTCGCCCACAAGCCCTGGTGTGTTTGCAAAACTGAACCACAAAGAAAAACTGAAATGAAACCAAACTGAAGTGAACTCTGGGAGCTGATATCTCCTCCCTCCCTCCTGTAGGGCAAGACTGAGCAAGAGATCCCAGAGCTCTGCTCAGCGGTGCTTTTCTCTCGGCTAGCTCGACTGAGACTGGTCTTCAGGCGAGGGGACAGACTGAGCGACGTGTGGGGCCACACAAAGACGAGCACCATGATCTGGTTCCATTTCAGGCGTTACTCGCTGCTGTTGGGTGTTAAGAGCATGAGCTACACCAGGCACGCGTGTAGACAGACACACCGTATGGACTTAAAATAGTGAGATAAATTCAGTTTTGACTAGATGCTGCTGTTCCTTTGGAACGAGCTGCTGTGGAGTGGAAGCCCAGCTCTAATGTTGGTCTTTTTTTTTTTATTGAGGGCTACTTTTGGTTTATCACTCTGACGTGCGTCATGATGAACCCAGACCCCTACCTCCCTGCAGGATTTCAGTCCACAATCCTTCAGAGCAACCCAGCCTCATGTACTGTAGCTTCTGCCCAGCTCATGCACTCTCTCTGGTAACATTTCCTTAATGTAGATTAGGACTTAGAAGAGGTTGAGTGTACTGGTCAAGCCCTTTTTGGAATGGTTCAGATTAACATCCCTTTATCCCAGCTAGTTGAAATCCTGCCTAATCCAGCACACAAGTCCCAGCAGCAGGTGAAGAAGTAACCAGGGCTGCCACCCAGCACCCCTTCTACCAGTTTACTGCTGTGCTACCATCTGCCTCCCCTCCGTGAGCACAGACTTACCAACGTCTGTCCAGGTGTGTTTGATATGTTCAAGCACCATGTCATCGGCAGGGCGCTCATACCTTTGCCCTTCAATCCATCACATGATCCACCTGAAGAGAGACGGATTCTTACCCAAACCGAAGCTTAAACAACCTTTTCACTGGAAATACATTCAAGTTCACCAGCACTCCTTCCACCTAGTTAGTGGCAGCAGCAAAGATATTTGAGCAAAATAACTGAGTTAAAGGGGAGCTGCAAGGCTATTTTTATATTTCGGGGTTAGAAAGAATCAGCATTGATGAGTGCATTTCAAACCACAATAAGAGTAAAATGTACACAGTAACTCGTAAAACCTCCAGTTTACATCACAAAATAGGTTAAATGTTCAGGTCTGCACAGCGCCACGTTCTGAGATTCAGACAGCAAGCAGACTTGTGAATATATCCCTTTTAATCCAATAGAAATATTGCTTTCAATTTCGAGATGGTTTTGCCAACAAATGCTACTTGTTAACTCCGCATGCTGATCACATTGGAACATTTCTGAGGTGAAATGTCTGCTGCACAACCTGTACTTAGTCACACGCACATCATATTACATTCTTCTTTACAGTGACTAGTGAGCAGGAAGGGCCGCATCGCATCGCAATTTGTGGGGACTCGAATGCGAGCTTGCGACAATATGTCAACTTACAGTACTTTCATAAAGTTCACAATTTTGTTCTTGATTTGAAATCTGTCATTTTTTTCCCCGTTATGTCAATGAATTTATTTTTTTAATCGAGATTTAATAACTAGTCTGAGAGACTGGGACTGCAGTTCCCCTTTCAGAGGGCGGGTGCTAACAGTTGTCCCTGCAGCTTGCACCCCATCAGAAACCAGCACTTTGTCTGGCACTCGAGCACAACGCTGATGAAGAGACGTGCTGCTGCTTGAAGGAATGGCAGTGGTGTAGTTAACTGGGAT